AGTTATATTATATTTTAATTTAATCAACAGAAATTTTGTGGAAATTTATACCTACACGATATCTTTGATTTTTCTTATTGATTCTCATAGCCTAAAATATTTAGTATCTGGCCCTTTATAGAAAAGTTTGTCAACCCCCAGACTAAAGGAATGGGTCACTTTATGTCATTGAGGCAGGACTGAACTGCTCTAGTATTCTAAGGACATGGAATAGGTGAAAGTTACAAGGAGATAAATTTCAGCTCAAGACTTTCTAATAACCAAAGAGGAATGGAGTGGTACGTACGATATAATCTGTACCAAGAGCTGTGCTGGCTCTTCCATACCTCTCGCTGAGCTTCATAACAATCCCTGAGGGAGAAGCCCAGAGTGGCTAAATACCTCTCCTGAAGTCACACAGCTAGCAAAGGCAGAGCAGGATTTGAACTCAGGTATGCCTGACTCCAAGGCTGAGTTTTTTCACTAAGTGATGAAAGACCCTACTAAGGGTCAAAGATAGTCTGTCTGAGTTATTACAGGGGGGATTTTTACATTAGAAGCATATTATCAACTTAACCAATAAGAACGGTAACATGCACTTTGCATATGCTATCTCTTTAGTCATCACAATAACCCGCGGAAGTAAGCCCTATTATTGCCTGTGTTTTCCACATAAGGGGACAGGTTTAGAGAGGTAAAGGAATCTGTTCAAGTTCATACTTGGCATAGAAAGTAGCAGAATTGAAATTCGAACTCAGATCTCATATCAAAACTTGAGATACTATTAAGAGGGCAGTACTACCCAAAGTGATTTACAGATTCAACACAACCTCTGTCAAAATTCCAACAGTCTTTTTTGCAGAAATGGAAAAGCAAATTCTTAAATTCATATGGAATTGCAAGGCACCCAGAATAAGTGAAACAATCTTGAAAAAGAGCAAAGTTAGAGGACTCACACTTCTGGATTTCAACGCTTACGACAAAGCTACAGTGATCAAAACAGTGTTGAATTGGCATTAGGATAAATATATAGAGCAATGAAATAGAACTAAGATCTTGGAACTAAACCCACATACCTATGGCCAACTGACTTTAGACAAGGGTGCCAAGTCCGTTCAACGGGGAAAGAATAGTCTCTCAACAACTGTCATTAGGCAAGTGGATATCCACATGCAAAAGAATGAAGCTGGACCCCTACCTCATGCCATATACAAAAATTAACTCAAAATGGATCAACAACCTAAACATAAGAGTGAAAATCATAAAATTCCTACAGAAAAACATTGAAGTAAATTTCCATGACCTTGAATTTGGCAATAGATTCTTGGATATAACACCAAAAACATGAGCAATAAAAGAAAAAACTGATACATTACACTTCATCAGAAATAAAAACTTGTTCATCAAAGGACGTTACCAAGAAAATGAAAAAACAAACTACAGAATAGGAGAAAATATTTGGAAATCTGTCGAGGGTTTATTATCCACAATAAACGAAGAAATTCTATAACTCAACAACAAAAACACAAACGACCCAATTTAAAACTGAGCATGGGTCTCGAATAGCTATTTCTCCAAATAAGATACACAAATGGCCAATAAGCGCATGAAAAGATGTTCGACATCATGAGTTATTAGGGAAATGCAAATCAAACCCACAATGAGATACAACTTCACACTTAACTAGGGTGGTTATTACAGCAAAAACAAATGGAACCCTTGTGCCTTGTTGCTGAGAATGTAAAATGGTGCAGCCTCTGTGAAAAAGAGTTTGGTTGTTCTTCAAAAAGTTAAGCATAGAATTACCACATGACCCAGCAATTCCACTCTTGGATATATATCCGAAAAGAAATGAAAACAGAAAGTCAGATATGTGTTCATTGCAGCATTATTCACAACGGCTAAAAGGTAGGAACAATTCACATGTCCATCAATAGATAAATAGATAAACAAAGTGTGGCATACACACACACACACACACTCTCACCCCCCCTATATATATATATATATCTATATACACACACACACGTACATATAATGGAATATTATTCGGCCACAAAAGAAATGAAGTCAGACACATACTATCAGATATATTATCACCACATGACTGAACCTTGAAAACCTTAGGCTAAGTGAAATAAGCCAGGCACAAAAAACAGTATTGCGTGATTCCATAGTATGATGTACCCAGAATAGGCAAGTACGTAAAGACAGAAAGTAGATCAGAGATTACCAGGTTATGTGGGGAAGAGGAGGTGGGGACTTACTGCTTAACGAATAAAGAGTTTCTGCTTGGGGTGACAGAAAATTTGGAAAGAGTCATGATGGTTACACAAAATTGTAAATGCAAGTAATGCCACTGAATGATGTACATTAAAAAGGTTAAAATGGCATACTGAAAAAAAAATTTAAGTTAAAAATTTTTTTCACTGAAGGCCATAAGAAGAGAGCAATGATGATGCTCTCTTTGCATCATCATTGATGATGATGCTTAATTCAAAAAATGGGCCACATCGGCGGCCGAGATTCTGTGGGGCAGGCCTATCAAACAAAAATTACATAGCTCATTTCTACCGGGATGAACCCCAAAGCAGGACCAGACTTGGGGTCTGTGGGTGCTGTGCCCCAAACTGGGCCCACCTCTTCCTCTGTTGCCTATTTCCCAGCTAAATGACCTTTGACCTTTGGGTGTCCCTGGGGAAGACATACTCATTGTACATTCAGGGACGGTTTAATCAAAAACCAAAGAAAAGGGAGCAGGATAAAAATATACATTGGCTTTGAAGCATTAGTTTATTTGGCAGGTTTTTACTGAGCACCATAAACCAAGCGCTCTGCCTTGATTTCTCCGAAGTCTGCAGCCCCACTCGTGCCGGGTCACACTGATGTCATTTAGGGACCTAGGTCAAGGCGGCTGGGTTTGTGCAGTACCAGCGGGGCTGCACGAAGTAACCAAATTCCAATGTACACCAGCACATGGTAGCCTTGTCAAGGAGACTTGTCAGACGTTCGAGTGTTCTTCACAATGCTCCCTGACGAAATAAGTGTTTGGGTTAGGGATGGAAAAGTGTCCCTTTGGTACAAGCACTAGCCAGACAGTTCTACCCACAGGACTAGAATGTTGTTGAGATTTACCATAAACAGATGAATAGGAGTTTAACAGGAAAGATAAAAATACCATTTCTGTCTTTAAAGCTGCCATGTCTATGTAGAGGGGACACATACATCCTTCAAAGAGGACCCCATTACATTCTGTCAAAATGGAGCCATTAATAGTCAAATTTAAGAAAAAAAGAAACCTCCTTAGCAGCTTGGGTTCATTCTGAAAACAGAGGAAGCAGGGCTTGTTGCTTCACTTTTAATAGCACGGGTTGTCATGCCAACTAGTGCTGCTGCTTAAATCGAAGGGGAAAAAAAATAAAGAAGTGTTCCTTCCTACACAAACCTTTCAGCAGAGCTCACAATTAGTCTTTAAAAAACACGAAAACTCATAGCGCTGGAGATACGGTAAACACCGTGCTTATATTTAAACCCGTCAGAAAGAGGATGTAATAAACCTTTGGTTTGCATTTCCTTTGCCCAGTATCTGGCTGAACAGGGCTCCTGAAAAAAAAGAAAGGTGCTATGTGGGCATACACAAAGGCAGCCAATCCCGAGACGGGAGAGGAGCCTTCCATCTTGAACAAATATAAACGGAGAAAGAGACAGGACGGTTTTCATGTAAAAGGGGATCTGCTCCCCCATAAACACAGCTCTTAAAGGCCTGGGTGCTCACAATGCCACGCACCCCGCCAAAGATGTCAGCGACAGGAGGACAGGAGACGAGAAAAATCCACAGATACTCAAGGGGGTGAAGGCCTGTGCTGGGCCAAGGGTGGACCGAGCCCCAGTGGTCAGTGACCAAGCTGTCCGAAGACGGAACCGCCGCCTCGAGGCGCCGGGCACCTTCGCTTTTCACCTGTGACGTCGGTTTTATTTAGAAGGTCTGAGACACCACAGCCATCAAACATGTGCTAGGGGAAGTGTCCACTGCGAAACTAAACAGAAATGGCATTAAAAAAAAAAAAGCTAAAGCCGAACGTCTGAGTCCATCGGTTTTATTTAGAAGGTCTGAGACACCACGGCCATCAAACATGTGCTAGGGGAAGTGCCCACTGCGAAACTAAACAGAAATGGCAAAAAAAAAAAAAAGCTAAAGCCGAACGTCTGAGTCCTTTATTAGGGGATGTGACCCGGCGGGGAGCGCTTCCCAGCGCCAGCCACACCGGCTGCAACTGCCCGCTCGCTGCCTGGCCGCCTCCCTCTAGACCGGGAGCCTTGCACGGGCAGGGACCGCGCCCGACTCATGGCCGTACCCCGGCCTTAATCGCAGCCAGAGGACGGCCAATATGTGTGTAGAAGACACGAATGTCCTCCGTTTTACTGACCGATCTATATTTTTAATAGATAAAACACAGACATAGTACAAAATTCAAGAGCCTCCGAGGGATAAATGGCAATAAATTTCCCTTTCTGCCATCCTTCCACTCTGGCGCCTCTGAGGCAACCTCGGGGACTGTCACCATTGTTTAAACGTGACTGGTGCAGTGAAATTCTAAATTGCAAAGGCTCCAACAACCAAGCAGACTACTTGGTGACTTGGGCGCGTCAGGTCATCACCAAAGATGGAAGCTAAATGTGACATCAAGACGAAAGTCATCTGGGTGAAAACAAGGTCCTGGCATTCCACGCCAGGAGGAGGCACCTGCCAGGGAGCTGCTGGCTTGCCGAGGAATGCTGCTAAGGTGACAGCCGTCCCCCTGGAGTCATTCACGGCACGACTAGAAGTCCGTGGGCAGGGGTCATCCAGCCTGTAACCAAGTAGCTGCCTCGAGCTCCTCACACCTGTTTCAGACATAGGCCAATTTCAAGCTGGGGCAAGGATACGTGGCTACATGATGGGAAGAAGCAGACATGCCAACCACACTCAGCCTTGGACCCAGAGAGATGCCTCGTGGTTTGTCTGGAGGAACAAAGTTTACCTTCAAAGAACTCAACCATGGGCTGGGTGGCTTTGTCCCCACAGATGGGCTGCACAGGGTAGACAGGAACTAAGGTAGGCAGGGGAAGAGGGTCCCAGGAAATCAGAGCACCCAGAGCGGTGACAAATCTGGGCCAATCCCAAACCTGGGCAGTGTCCCGGGGGGTGGACCGTGTGTGACAGGAACATCTGGACACACTGCTTTATCTAGTCGGCATGCGAGGGGCTTTTTTTGAAGACTGAGTAACCATTGCCCTGTATAGTCACCAAACCAAAGACTAAAAAAAGACTCGAGCCACACAGGCTCATCTGCTCTCCAAGGCCCCTGCCTAATGTGGCAATGCGCTGCAGGCTGGAGGGTGAGCCGGGCGCTTATCTGATTTCAGCCAATCTGTTACTGTATTTTATTCCATGTCCTCGTGCCCAGAGGCTGTTGCAATGTGTATAAATTTAGAAAAAGAAAGATAAATACATGGAAAAGTTCATTTTAACAAAATGAGTTTGTTTTCTTTCTTTTTATTCCACTAAAGACAAGATAAAATGATCTCGTTCCTTATTCAGCCCCTACCACCGTGGACTGTGGTACTCTGGGCAGCGACTCAGTACTGTGCAACCACAGCCCAAGGTTAACCTGCTTCTTCTGAAACTGCGAAACAGTCAAGCTCCCATCCTAACTGCTTCTCAGAAGCTGAGGGAGTGAGAGACAGCACCTGGCACAAGATCTGTAGTCGGCAAGGCTCTGCTCAAGCAAAAGACCCTACATGAAGGAAGACACTGTCTGACTCTACACGAAAGCCTACGTCAGTTCACCGGAGAATATCGTGTGCCTGAAGTTGATGTTTTACCAGGAGTTACACATTGATTCTTTAAATAAAATCCGTTTTATAAGGAAATTAATAGCACAGATGGCAGATGTGGGGTTATGGTGGAAATTATACTGAAAGCAAAATTGCTTGAACAGTGATTGCCTTCCCTCACACAAGAATCACAGCCAGGAAGGTTTCTGGACCCCTTGTGGGAAGTGACCGCCAAAGAATTGTACCTTCTAATCATTTAGTCCCGTTTCCGTTTTATAGAGGATGAAACCAAAGTTAAATAATGGGCCCAAGGTCACGTGGCTGCCAGTGACAGAGGTGGAGGCCAGGACGGGTCCAACAGCTTTTCCCAGCGCTTAAGCCACCAGAACCACCCACCACCTGGAGGCATCCAGACTCAGGGGCTGTACCTCCGACAGCATCTCATACTGGCCTCTTCTTCCAAGAGCAACAGTCAGCAAATCATAGGCCACGGACGCACTCTGCAGGCTGATGAGGCGGTCGCTCTTGTGCTCAGGTATCCGGCTCAGCACAGCATCCCGGTTGGCCTGAAAACAACCCAGAAGAGAGAAGCAGATGGTGAGCCAGCCCATGCGCACAGCTCTCACTTTGTGGAGAGAAGCCATCTAGGCCCCGCTGCCCCTAACAGCTTGCCGAGGGTCTGGAGAAAAGATCAGGAATGAGTAAGGGGCTTGTCACCTCCGGCTGTCTGTTCAAAATCCCCAGAGCACCCCAGCACATGGCACATGTTATTCTCCAAACACCGAAGGCCCGGAGGTGTGATCCTACATGGTACACACACGTTCCTGTCAGCAGGTGTTAGGAGAAAGGGTTAGGAGCCAGTGCAAAGCAGGGTGATTTCTCCTGGGCTCAGGTTCCCATATAGCCTCGTTGCTGTGCTGAGACGTATCTGCGCTCTGGGGCAGCAGAACCTTCCATCGGAGGAGGCCCTGCTGCATCTCACTTGCAGATCCTGCTTCTGCTCTCTGTTAAGAGTGGGAGAAAACTCCCAGGCCCACACTTTCCATCACCAAATGGTGTCATCGAGTTCCATCAGTCCTACAGAGACATATCATACTTTTCCTCCATCACCAAAGCAACATTCGAATCCCTAACAGACATCTTCATTGGAACGGACTACAAAGACTAATTCAGTCTTGTTTAGAAAAGCACAAAACAGATGTATAAGAGACAGCAAGAAGCAAACAGATTTTTGTTTGAAAGATATTACTGCAGAGGACTCAAGAGAACACCTTGCCTATTTCACATCTCCATTGTGAGAAATACAGCAGGCACATTCAAAGCTTATTAGTCTCATCTATCTAGAAATCAAATGCTCTTTACAGCAACTTGTTTTCATTATTTTTGAAATGTAATTTCTCTACCGGTTCCTCCAGACATATCCCATGCATTAGAGACTCTAACCGCTAGCTCATTTTCCTTTTCTCTCTAACAGGGGAGTCAGAAACAGTAAAGTTAGATTTCACCTATCTTTTTTTGCCCTTGATAATTAACAGAAGCCTCCAGATCTATCCGTCCCTAGGTGCATGGGAAGGGACTCTCAGCTTTACCTGCGGAAGTGGTTACATGATGTATCGGGGTCACTTGTTCAGGCAGGAGGATGTTTGTCTTCCCACCCGACATTCGGAAATGCTACGCACACACCTTCTCTCTCACTAATGAGGAAACATACTTTCTTTTTATATGTGAGTCCAAGGCATTTAGCCACTCATCAGTGCTTACTTTAAAACTCCTTGCTCTTAAATGTCAAAGACAAATAAGAATATGTAAGACAGGCTACTTCCTACAAAGTGAGTCATCTCTTATGGAAATAAGCCTGCTTTTGAAGATTTTATTCTAAGTTTTTCTTATTAGGAGTGGCTTTTAAGCCAACAAAAGAAGCTCTGAGGGAAATAGGGCTTGCTATAAGTGGTCTCATTTTATTAATTTGATATAAATGTTCTATACTGAGACCAATGCCTGGAAGTGAACAAAATAAAATACTATTTAAGAGAATTTTTCAAGTTATGCCAAATGCATTCTTTTAAAAAAAATTTTAGAGAAAATCTACCAGTGTCTTTTAATTAAAAAGGTTCGATACAGAAGCTCAAACAGATCCGCAAGTAATAAATATCCCAGAATACTGTATCAGTGTTGATTGTGAAAATACAGTTCTGATAACTTTTCTCCTGGGGAAAACTAATTTGATTTGAGGTGAGAAAGCAGTACAATTCCAAATGAGTTCTTGTAGGTGGAGAGACTAAGGAGAAATTTATGTTTCTAAGGTAAAATCAGAACCAATGAAGAATACAATTTTCCCAAACACCGAAAAAACACAGCAATTCTCTTTTTGGTTCTGAAGTTGAGCACCTTTTATTTTTCTGTCTAAAAAATGAAAAATCAAGAGGTTGAGGAACATGAAAAAAGGCTTGCAAAGGCAACTTAATTTAGATTTCTACCTATATAATTACATCATTTACAGGGAGAACACACAATTTTGGTTGGAGGCCCAGTCCTTCATATTTACTGATAGTATCACTGGATGTCACCAGCCCCTGAAGAGACTTTTGAGAAATTAAACACCACGAAGTCAAATCTGACTGTGTCAAAGGGACCCCAACTATGAGCGTTATTCGGGAGAGATGGAGGCACCATTCCCAAGACACAAGCATTTTAAAGATGCGGCCAGGTTTTCCAAATTCCAAAACGGAACACATGCACTGACAACAGAACTCAATGTTTTCAACCACACTTTCAGAACTCTTACAAAATAGAGAACCAGGCTGGTTTGCTCAAAGGAAACTAACTGCCCAGTTGTGAAGAGTCCAGCTTAGAACGCGGGAATGTTGGCTGGGAGGCCGACGTGAACTGGCCACCACCAGAGAACTGATGACAGCGCACAATGAGATGTGCTCACATGGAAAACAGATACCGAATGCCACCGAGTGCCAGTCTGTTTATATACGTGCCTTCCCTGATGGTGCCACGGCAGCGTAGAGAATGTAAATGATACCGTCCAAAGCTACCAGCAGACAGTCAAGGAAGGATGAGCCAACGGGGCAACCTCTTTCCTTCAGAGGAAGTAAGGCCAACGACGCCACAGGGCTTCCAGATAAAAAGAGGCAGTAACTCGAGCAGTCTTGCTGTTGTAAACATCTCTGGGCCATTTCACAGAACAAGAAAACTCAAAGCTTTAAATTAAGGCAAGAAAGCTGCCCTTCCTGACCAAGTCCATCCCTCCTACACTCTGCTGCATTTCTAAGTCTTTCTCACCTAAGTGCATTTCATACCTCCATTTAAATTGTATGCTGGAGCAAGAAGGATAACACCTTCCCTTGCTTTAGTTATGATTCCCTTTACTCTTCCTTTCTCCACCAGCCTGCCAGGTGGGGTGAGAGATATGGGAGCAGGCACGACGATCTACTAGAAAGAGCTGCGTGATGCATACACTTTGCCTGCTCTGGGCCTTAGTTTTCTCCTCTGTAAAATAAGTGAATGGGTGTGAGGAGCTCTAGGTCCTTTCAAATTCCAGAAATTTGCTCAGCACGCACATTGACTTGCCAAGGTTTGAACTACTGTAGCACATATTACCCCCGGAAGGTTCAAGCCGGGGCCATCGAGCTTAAAACGCAGAAGAGAAACCCAATAAATGATGAGCAATGAAATTCTAGACCTAAAATCTGATATCCTGGCCAAACACTAAGAAATGTTTCAAAGGAACCTAACGGTCTGGCAAAAACATCCCTCAGAACAGCAGAGCCAGGTAAGAGGAGTAAACTCTCACAGCCCGGGACTGTGCGATGCCTGGGGAACAGGTGGCAGCTTGGGGAAGGGACCTGTGTAAGAGGATGAAGCAATTTCATCAGCCTCCTGCTACAAAACCGAGAGGTTCACATATATAACACGCGATGTAAACCCAACCCCTCCCTCTCACCAAGGCGCATTGAGAAGGCTCGTAAAGGTTGCCCTTTGGGGGCTTCTTCCCCTTTGTAAAGTCCCTTTCATGATCATTTTGGCTGTAGTTTACCCATAGTACACACTCGTGCTAGTGTTCAATCAATACTCGGTAGACAAATGAATGAACTTGGATGTTTGCTAATTGCTAAGAAAGAGAAGCTCCATGCTCCAGGCCAACCAAGGAACATTGTACCCAGTCCAAGAATTAAGAAACATCCCTCCTTTGAAACCTCTATTGTTTTTCCCACCCGGGTATCCCCTCTAGTCTTCTCCCAAGAAAAAGAGTCACCACATTGATGAAGTAGCCATGTCTAAAGAGGGACTACAGGAAAAGGAGAAAGAAAAATAAAACACATTCTACTTACCATAGATTCACTAATCAGCAATAACAACAGGGCTTCTTCGGTATTTTCTTGAGGACAAAAAATGCTGTATAAAGAAAGTCGACTTTGATATACGGCAATTTCCAAGTAACACAAAATACATTGACTATGAGCAGAACTGTGTGCTAAAAGCTTCTAGATTTTTTATATAGAACCCATAAAAATAATGTATTATCTGGAAACTTGAATGAATTTGCTTATTTCTATGGTAATCTATAGAACTTATACATACTAACTATGCATGTTAATAGCAGGCCACAGGATGAAGACGAGCTGTAAAAACCAAGTTAAAAGTTCAAATAACATACAGGCCTGTTACAGAGGCAGAAATTTAGATTGCTACAAACTGACATCATCTAAATAATACCGGCTTTCTCCTAAACCCATTATGGAGGTGTAAACTGCAGACATTTTAGTAAATAGTACTCTTCTTCTCTCTTTCTTGCTGACTGGCATGTCTTATATTGTTCTTTAGGTAAAATAAGTTGGAAGCAATTTCAGAGTTGAAATAATTTCTAGATTACTGTTAAGAATTTAATGAGTTACCTTACTTAAATACGCGTCTTGCTATGGGATGGTATGTAAGAGCTAGCTGTCTTATTTATCTATTTTATGAAATTTGGCTGAACCTTAACATCTTGGACTAAAAGGAAAAGCTTTTAAGCCCAATGTTGCTCTGGATTAGAGAACAACAAAAAGCAAACACAACCCCAATATCCATTCTCTATATCCTATTTTTTTTGTGCTTTGAGAATTTTTAAGGACTTGTAGTATTTTGTTTCCTGTTCTGAAGCTCTAGGATCCTCTTAGTAGAACTGTGTTATCACCAATTAGGCCAAAACTCCACCCTTTTTCATGGAATAAAAGAGGAGTACAATAAAACAAACTTGGTAAAAAAAAAAAAAAAAAAAAGAACCTGAATATTTTGGAGATGTCTAAATAAAGATTAAATTTACATCTTTCCAAAGGTAACATTATAATCCTTTCGTTTAAGAGATGAGATGACTCCCTCTCCCATCCCCCCAAATGGCAAAACAATATTTTCCAAATCACTTTAAATAGTTGCTCTCTTTGAAGTGTTGGCAACTTTTGCATTGAATCAAAGGGCCATGAAAAGCAAGACTGAAAAAGTGCAGTGCCTGGTACTTTCTCGACAACTCTGACTTCTCAGAGGGAAGGAAACCACGTGAGGGATGGTTTCTATTGCTCTTGCAGGGCTAACGTTTTGTGAAAAGGCTGGCCTGTAAACCAGGAGTAAGATCTGGAATTTGCAGTGACTTCCTTAAGGAGGTAGCTTGAGGTGGTGTGGGTTTTGAGAAGATGGAATACTTCTTTGCCCTTAAAGTCAGAAATAGAACCTACAGGCTTTGAATTAAGAGTGACTCTGTGTGTGTGTGTGTATGTGTGTATGCGGATGTGTATGTGTGTATGCGGATGTGTGTGTGTGTGTGTGTGTGTGTGTGTGTATCTGTCTGTCTGTCCATTCAGCAATCATTTCTTGAATTCGTGGCTTGTGCTTACCTGCAGTTGAGACCTTACAACAAAGCAGTGACGCTAACCATTTTTTTCATGGCCAGCCACTTCTACATGATGCAGACTAATTGCAAAGAGAGAGAGCTCATACTAATTGTGCCTTAACACCACCCAATTCAATCCATGGATAATCCCCAAATTTCATTTGAGCCATTCGGCCTGCTTAAATGTGAGGTTGTGTTATTTCCACCCGAGCTGCTAACAGAGTAGCACATTAACTGATTTTAATTCCACTTCCTCTACCCTTCCTTTCAAGGCAGACAGGATGAGAGCGCTGCAAAGCTCCCAGGGCCGGCAGAAAGAAGTGGGGGCGGGGGAGGGGAGCGAGAAAGGGTAGTTTTAAGACACATGCCTAAAAAAAACTACACACTGAAATGCCCCCTCTCAGCAATTATGGATTCTTTAGACCCACTTCTGGCCATTCCTCCCCTATTGCCTGTTCGGGGAGGTGCAGCGCTCAGGGCAGATGGTCCAAATAGTTGGAGCTTTCTTTTTGTGACATTCTCCTCTTGGGGCCCAAGAGCTTGCTCAGGGGAGATCACAGGGTGCTCAGACCTTAGCCTTGTGAAGGTGGAATACTGGGGCTCTAGATTCAAAGGAAATTGACTGAAGGGCAGAGTGGGGGATAAAAAGGGACAGAGAGGAAATAGGGATCAGTGAGGACAGTGAGGACAAGCTCCCCTGAGCTGGACTGGCAGGCTGGAGGAGGTGGCAGGGCCAGTGCTGCTGGGCTAAGAACGGAAGGGCTGCCTTCTAATCCTGGCCACGCTATCCGCTCACTGGCTGCCCTTTAGGCAAGTTGCTCCTTTTCCTACTTTAGATGAATTACCAACTCATTATCTGATTCTACAGACAACACAGGGAACAAGGGTGAGAATCCTCATTTATAATGATCATAATCTTGCCAAAGCTCTCAGATAATAATAGCCCTTTCTTAGAAATTTCCCCCAGATAGGTAAAAACGTCACTGTATGTGGTAGAAAAAATAGTATAAAAGGAATTAATCCAATTTTATCCAAATGCATTTCATCTTTCTGTCATCTTTAGCTATGATACAACTAATGACAAGTTGGATGCCTGAAGGTCACTGGCACCACCCAGGAATCAAAGCAGACTCTATTTAGGTGCAAGGAGGGCCTCGAGCACCTCCAACTCACAAGAAAGGTGATTTGTAAATGACAATGTCAACTCCAAGGCCCAGCAATGGTGTCTTTATTATTTTAATATGCCTGGCTCTGATACTACTTGGGAATTCCTGGAGAAATACAGCCTCTGAACCACAGCCAGCCAGATGAGAGCTGAAAAATCAAAGCTGATGACGATGCCATTCCCAGCCCCATCCCCACCCCAAGATGCACTGTCTGTTACATACACCAAGGCGGAAAGTGCTGTCAGCCCCAGGTTTGTGAGGAAGGAGGAGGGTTCCAAGACAGGAAAAGGATTTAAATTAAGCATTAAGAGAGCCTCTTGATTATGAGGGAGGGGTCAGTTGATCTGATCTGAGGATTACCCTGGCCTCTACACGGTTCTTCCATTTTTTGTCAATCCATTTGGTTAAATCCCCTCATGAGTAAGAAAGAAAGACCTGTCACTTAGATGAGCCCCAGTCCACTGAGCTGTGCTGTGGATGAACTGGGTGAATCATACAAAGCATATCACCCTGCATAAAGGCTTCTAGGTCCCTGGTGAGGGAACAGGCCTCTCTGCGATGAGCTGAAGGTAGGCCGTGTACACTAGTGATGAGGGTGGCAACCAGTGACACAGCTGGTTGCTCACATGGCTTCGGTTACACCATCAAGTAATCTGTCTGACCCTCTAACATCCCTCATCATTATACTTTAAACAGCATCTTCATCCTTACCAAAAACCTTCAAGAACAATAGATTGGTATTTTGGAGTATATTAATAAAATGGAATACTATGCAGCAGTGAAGACAAACTACTACTACATGCAAAAATATGGGTAAACCTCTCAAATATATTGTTAGACAAAAGAAATTAAACAATAAGTTCTTAATGTATGGTTCCATTTGTATAAATTTCAAAAATGAGCCAGACTAATTATTGAGATAGAAATCAGGACAGACTCACCCTTGGGAAGGGGGCGGTACTTGGTGGAGGGTACAAAGAGGGCTTTTAGAGTTCTAGCAATGTCTATTTCTTGACCCTGATGCTAATTATATGGATGTGTTTGCTTGGTAAAAATTCATCAAGTTTTATCTTCTTATTTGTGTATTTTTTCAAAGTATGTGTCAGTAAAAAGCTTACTTAAAAATAGGTAAACAAAATTCAATAAAATTCTTCACAGAAAGACCTAGAAGACAGGAAGTAAAAGAGGCCCATGGCATGTGATCCTTCCCCTCTTTTCTAAGATTGTCAACATTTTATTTCTTTTCAGAATTCAAGATGGGGAAAGAATAAGCATTCAGTTTCTACTTCACATCCAGGTCGTAGTGACAGGGAGTGGAGCTTTCTGGCAGAGCTTGCTTTTTCAGGTGTACTCTATTATGACCAACTATTTTGAATGGTCCTTGTGGTCTTCTGGAGCTGGAAAGATTTGTGCCACCTAACGACTGCTTTGTACTCATATTTCTCATAGGAGATTAAGGAAAGGGGCAGTTTGGGACTACTGTCCAAAATGGGGTTTACTCACGATCTATGAATTCTTTTTATCACCTCTCAACCAGCATAATTGAATTGATGATAATGTCTTTTGTGTCGTAGAACTGATGGATCAGATAGTCCTGCCTTGTTAATAAGGAAGCTCCAAGACAAGTATCATTCAACAGGTTTTCTCTCTTTACTAATAAATCAGAAGTAGAATTGTGAACACGCAAAACAAGAAAGTCAAAATCCGATGGTGATAACTGAAGGAATAGGATTACTGCAGAAACTAATGATATAGAAAGTAGATACGCAATAGAAAAAAAATCAGCAAAACTGAAAGTTGGTTCTAAGTGATCATTTTTAGCTAAACTGAGCCAAAAAGAGAGAGGGAAGACCCAAATTACTAAAATGAGAAATGATTAAGGGGATATGACTACCAACCTCACAGAAATAAAAAAATTAGAAGAGGTTACCGTGAACAACTGTATGCCAGCAAATTAGACAACTTAGATGAAATGGACAAGTTTCTAGAAAGACAAAAACCACTAGAACTGATTCAGGAAGGAATATAAAATCTTAATCAACCTATAACAAGTAAAGAGATTGAAATAGTAGGCAAAACCTTTCCACAAACAAAAGCCCAGCACCAGATGGCTTCACTGGTGAATTCTACCAAACATTTAAAGTATAACTAACACCAATTCTCCACAAACTCTTTCAAAAATGAGAAGAGGAAGGAATATTTTCCAATTTATTCTATGAGGCCAATATTATTCTAATACCAAAACCACACAAAGAAAAAAACTGCAACTCAATATGTTTTATAAATATTGATTTAAAAATCCTCAACAAAATACTAGCAAATCAAGCCCAACGATAATAAGGATTATATACCATGACCAGTGGGATTTACCCAGGAATGTAAGGTTGGCTTAACATCTGAAAATCAATTAGTATAATAAATCACAGCAGGAGAATAAAGGACAAAACCCACATGATCATCTCAATAGATACAGAAAAAGCATTTGCAAAAGTAAACACCCTTTATGATGAAAAATATTCAAACTAGTAATAGAAAGGACCTTGTTCAACTTGACAAAGGGCATCTATGAAAGCCCACAGCTAATGTCATACTCAATGGTGAAAATCTAGATGCTTTCCCCTCCTAAGATCAAGAACAAGATCAAGAACAAGTCACTTCTATTCGACATTGTACTGGAGGTTCTAGCCAGGGCAATTAGGGAAGAAAATGAAATAAAAGGCATCCAGTTTATAAAGGAAGAAGTAAAACTAATCTCTATTTGCAGATGACATGATCCTGTATATAGAAAATCTTAAGGAATCTAAAAATTATTAGGACTAATAATTATTCACCAAGACTGTGGTATACAAAATAAATAGAGAAAATCAATTGTATTTCTATATACTTACAATAAACAACCCAAAAACAAAATTAAGAAAATAATTCCATTACTATACCATCAAAGAGCATAGCATACATACACAGAGAGATACACATCCACAAACCCCCCAAAAAACCTTAGGAATAAGTTTAACAAAAGAAGTACAAACATCATACCCTAAAAACTACAAATTGTTAAAAGCAATGAAAGAAAATCTAAATTAATGGAAAGATATTCCATGTTCATGGATTGGAAGACTTAATATTGTTAAGACAGCAATACTCCCCAAACTGGTCTACAGATTCAATGAAATTCCTATCAAAACCCCAGTGGCCATTTTTTTTTCCAGAAATAAACAAACTGATCCTAAAATTCATATGAAAATGCAAGAGATTGGGGTTGGGGGAAAGCTAAGGGGTGCTGGGTTTATTTTGGGCATAACAAAAATGTTCTAAAGTTGATTGTAGTAAAGGAAGCACAACTATGTGACTATATTAAAATGCCACTGAATTATACACTTTAAATGAATGAATTGTATAATATATGGATTACACCTCAATAAAAACAGTTAAAAAAACATAACTGTGCATTTCTGTGTAAAATGAAACTTGTGACTCGGTAACTGGTCCCGGTATGAGAATGCTCCCTTTAACTAGTAACTGCGTTTTCTACATCTGCCTGCTGCCTCCGTAAGTCTCCTTGTACAGATGCGGAAGCTGGTGTCAGAAGAGTGACCAAGTCCAGTGGTTTGAGAAATAAAAGATAAGTAGCCAACGCTGTGAGCTTTTCTGCCTTCAAGGGGTGAGGCCACTTTGGAAAAGCACCCAAAGAGACACAGTGTCCACCTTCATCAGGGGTGGGAGCAAGAACTGGGTTCTTCAATATACCTGGCACCTCATATGCCTATCTATTAAGAAGCATCTAAAGCAGGGGAAAAAAAATTACTTAAAAATGAACCCAAATCTGCTTCTAAATAGTTCATGAAGAGGGGTCAGCATTTTTAAAGTGAGAGTTTGGGAATTGCTAGAACAGATGTTCTATGAATTCAGATAAGGACTAAGGAGTAAACACAGGCTGTGAATTAAGCAAACTCATGGCTCAACAAGGCCATGAAAAAGGAGGATGGAAACTAAATTAAAATACGCCTAGAGAAAAAGGCAAGAATATGCTCACATGTCTGAATCTATACAAGAAATGCAAACTGAACAAGACGACGAGGGAGAGATATGCTAGGGTCAACTTAAGAGGATTAAGAAGTGGCTGCCCCGAGAGACGCTGTCCCTTTTGGCAATGCAACAAACATTTTCAGAAGTCACACATGTAGTCAGGATCTAGTCACCCTCGCATCTACCAGCGCTATCTCTAGGGCCTCAGAAGCAGCAGCCCACAGTCTCTCAGCCATTTTTCCAATTTGACAATGACTAGAGAGGGTTTCTGTATTTATTTATACATGTTCCCTTTTCCTTCATGGAGAAATTCTGAAAAGCCACCATGCCTTGTCCTTGTAAGAAGAGGTGGGAAGTGGAGGCTCTGAGGGGAAGAATTAAGAATGAGCCGGCAATCATTCCCTTCTCCTGGTCTCTCTCCCTCAATCTTCTCCTCCCCGTCATCTGGGAAGACACATGCGAGACTACCGTGGTTCACTAGCCCATTTTTCTCTCGATGATCAAGTCCCAAATTTAAACCTTTAAAAAATTAAGAAGTTCTAAAGAGACATCATCACCTTCCAATCACTTGCAAATTATTTAATTCACCTTCTTATAGCTAATTCACTTACAAACAAATTTTTAAACAAAAGGATGAAGGAATCGAAGAAAAGAAAAATGGTTAAGTCTGGCTTACAAAAAGCTTTGTCACTGATTGCTATATAATGCTGGGGTTCTTCTAATAAATGGAATGAGAATCCCAAAGACCAACAGTGATGGCTGACATGAGAGCATTTTCCTACTTAAAATGTCACCTACTAGTGCACAGATATTTGCTGAAAGCGTGAAAAGTAGTGAGTTATCTCTATTAAATTGGTAAATGAGACTTGCTCATCTGGTTCTTTTTCGGGGGAAAAAAATCTGCCCTTGCACTTCTACTCATCCTTGAATTTTCCTAAAGTGTCCCTCCAACCCCTTAACCTATAAATAAGGACGTCAACTCCCATACTTCTCTCCTGAGTAGACGCGGGCTTTCCGAGTGAGGGTGTAGGTTTTTGTGTTTGCTCCTTTCCGGAGAGGGTCGTCCAGAGGTGACTGGCATGGCGGGTCCTCCAGAGGGTTCCAGTAGCTCTGTTCACACATACCCCGCAACAAGATCTCCGCCAACTGCCTCGCTATTGTCTGGGAACACAAAGGAGCAAAGGCATAGCCATGAATCTATTTCGCATCATTCATTCATTTATTCATTCACTCATTCACTCATTTAATAAATATTTCTCGGTCATCACTTTGTGCTAGGCACTATTCCAAAACTCATAATTAAAAATTTATGATGAAATTCTATCAATTGATGACATAAAAGAAGACACGATGCACTAAGATATTTGAACCTTTTTTTTTTAAAACAAGTTCGTGACCTGCATATGCCACCTGCCTCTGGTGTACACTGGAACATTAAACATGTTTTATACCCGAAACAATTGAAACTTTCAGTTAAGCTCTTTTCTAAAGCCCTTATAAATAATAGGTGAACCGCAGATATTTTCATCACCTCCCAAGTGATGCCTGCTAAAGCCCAAACTTGGCAAAAAGCCAGTACTCAACCTAGATGATGTTATCCCTGAAAAAAATCTCTTCACTGATGATGTCCACTATAGATTTTTGAGAATGTCTTCCTTCTTAGAGTGCCAGGGACCAGTCCCACAAGGCCCCACCCTGGCACTCAGCGCCTCAAAGCCCCTACTGGTCTTATGAAATAGAGAAGGCAAAGTGGGGACTATGGCTACTGATCAAGAAAGACATTTTTTTCAAAGCTGGACAGGCATCTCTTTTCTCACTGTGAAAACCCAGACATATCTGGACCTCGTCCTCCTCAGTTAGATGCAGGTTACTATGCTTTCCCAAACTCCCTGCAACAACACTGCCTGGACCCACACCACGTATGATGTGTGGAGGAGGGCTATTTTGTTGACTGATGCATATCAGTTCATTTACCTCATAATCTTTCAGTGACAAAGAAGAGGACAGGTTAAAAAAGAAGAAGGAAAAAGAAAAAAAATCTCTCTGAAAACAAAGAAGTACCGCACCTCAGGCAACCTACCCCATGATCAGCCAGAGGCGGCAAAATAAAATTTCAACCAGTAGGTTTTTCCACAAGGTTTTAGCATTCTTTGCAAGATGCAAAGAACGCTGATCTTCCCTGAGAAGGAGCCTTTTTAAACAGATATGTTCCAGAGGAGAACTTAGCCAGACTTTCATCCATGTGAAATCTCTTAAAACACCACAAGGAAACTTCAATGCAGCCAAATCACTATCTTAGTGGTTTCTGATAATCACTGGGTAAAGGCAAATTTTCTTGATTACTCTCAAGTAAGACCCAATGGCTTTAAATGTCTACATAAATGTGAGATTAAATCAATCCTATCATCCCCAACTGAGCTATCGGTAAAGATCTCATAAGAACACAATTTCCAGGACCTAAACGGTTCCTGAACTGTTTTCTTAAACCTTCCTTTATAGTTTCATTCTGATCTCACCGCAGTCATAGAAGCTAATGACTTCTGCTGGAGGCATCGACGAGCAAAAATTGCCTCCACTTATAATAGCTGAGAAAAAAAAAATGTTAAAGCAAAAAAAGAATGAACGAGGAACTTCATTTTCTGGGTATACCTGCCATGGAAAAATTCTAAAATTATAAAAATTTCTGCCTCAAACAGTTTGCCTGTCCACTACTAGACTATTCATGCTAGATCTCACTTTTCCTCAGGGTATTCACCTTCCAGAGAGACTTTTAAAATGAGGTTTTGATGTGACTGCATATTATAAAGTTGTCACCTCATCAGTGCCGTCCTGATTAGAAAGGATATTTGGTTGTGTTCATTGAAAGCTCAAATGAAGTTTAGAAAAGAAGATTAAATATGAGAAATTATCAACAAGATCACCAAAATCTCTCATACCTTTATTTTTTATACTAAAGTTTTATTTAGCTTGCAGTTTAAATGCTTAAAAACTGTTGGTAACTATCAAATGAATTCAGAATTAAAGGAAGAAAGGGAGGGAAGTAGGCCTGCAAGAAGATTCGAACTTTTACGTACAAACTTGGTCCTGAAATGCACCTCTTTGCACGTATTTTTTAAATTGTGGTAAAATCCACAGAACATAAAGTTCACCGTTTTAACCATTTAAAGTGTGGAATCCAATGGCGTCTAGTACATTCACAATGTCGTACAACCATCAGTACTATCTAGTTCCAGGACACCTGCATTATCCAAAAGGAAGCCCCGTATTCTCTGGAGCAGTCATGCCCCACGCCCCCTCCTCCCAGACCTGGGAAACTCTACTCTACTTTCTGTCCATATAGATTTGTCTACCTTGGGTAAGTCATATAAATGGAATCATATAATGTGTGGCCTTTTCGTGTTTGGCTTCTTTCACTTAGCAAAATGCTTTCCAGTTTCATCCACGCTGTAGCATGTATCAGAACTTCATTCCTTTTGATGGCTGAATGATATTCCATTGTATGGCTAGACCACATTTTGCTTATCCAGTCATCAGTTGATAGACATTTGGGCTGTTTCCATCTTTTAGCTATTGTGAATAGGGTTGCTATGAACATTCATATACAAGTTTTTATTTGAATGTTTGAACACCTGCTTTCAATTCTTCAGAGTATTTGTCTAGGCGAGGGGTTGCTATGCGTGTACTTTTAAATCCTTCTCTGCTATGGTCTCATGCCAGACTGAGTTTTACAAAGCAAATTTTCCATCTCAGAGGCATATCGCAAATTTGCAATTAACAGCTAATCTAAAAAGAGTCATATAGTTATTAAGGCTGCTGGAGACACTGTCTTGTGAATGCCATTAGCTGGAGAAGCTTTCTGATGTCTAGTAATAACCAAGAGACCAGTACATAAGGCCCAGGAAATGCTTCTCAACTAGGGTGGACGAAGAATCACTGTAGAAACTAGAACATTAGACTCGCGGGTCCTGCCCCAGACCTCCTCAGCTGGCGTTTCCGAGCCGGGCATTGGGATGTGTATTTGTTCACGGTTCCTCCGTGAATTCTGATGCATACCTTCGGTTAAGCACTCAAGGAATCAGAAACAGTTTAACTTAGGTCATTTGAGCATCATCAGCCAAGACTAAAGGTCTACTTGCACCTCAAGCACAGCATAAAGTGGGAAGTGACTCCCCTCGTGTTGACACTGACCAATGAACAGCTGAAATGTCCAGGGGGCAGCGCTAGTCTACTCGGACTTTCTTCAGGAGCCTTTCACTGTACTTCTCAAAAAAATAAAAATAAAAAAGGTTGAAGAAATCTCTTCCTTCCTAACCTCTCTCTATTTAGAATCCTATCTCTCAAGATTTTAATAAGTTCAAATACATTGGTTTAAAAATCATAAATCTTATAATGGAAGATATTCTCTAATTCTGAAAAATAATGTTGAAGTAAGCGGTGGGCAGATTCCAACAATTTCCTTTTAATAAGGAATAATCATTCATTTCTTTAATGGATCAATATATATTTTCGAGAGTCAACAATATAAACAAATGCTCCATATTTAAGCAATTTTGAAAGATTGGCTTTTTAAATGTGCGTTTAAAATAATTAGAAGAACAGTTGCCAATATGTTCAGTTACTTTCATTGTGCTTCCAGATCTTGGAAGAAGCTGTTCATACTGACCAGTTGGGAAGTTCTATGGAATGTTGAGAGTAGATCGATTTCAGAGAGAAGACATTTGGCAACAATTTTTATCCATATTTTACAGGGTTTTTTTTCTTAAAGAACTCTACAAATCAAAATGTTTTGTTTGAATTTCTTAAGACACCTCTAAATCACATCAATATATAAATAAATACTGAAGACCCAGTGGGTTCTTGGTGGGGTGTGTGTGTGAAGTTGCTCATCTTCTCTCACTCCCCGCCACCCGCCCCCCGCCATAATTCTAGGAAAGCCTATGGCTTAGACACCTGGCCCCGTGAGTTGTAGGTCTGGATCTAAAACTCTGGAGATGCCAAAATGAAGATACGACTTCACTTATCACTACAGGAATCCATTAGGCTTGCCCAAGCGAATAGTCTCTTACAGGATTTAAAGGATTCACGAGAATGGGAGGATGACGACATGGATGATAAAAGACAAAAGACACTGTCATCTTACATGGGTGTGCTACACCAATGGTGACAGGTGGCATTTGCTTAACTTCTAGTAAACACCAGGCATTTACCAAAACACTCAATGGCTATCACACTGAAGGGCAAACTATGGCAGATAAATAAGGCATCTTCCCAGACAGGAAAGTGAAAAGATCAAACAGGAAGACAGAGAACGCGAGTCAACAGGAGAACCAAGCTGCTCTTCAGTTTATTTAACTAGCTTTCATACATCTCTTCTAAGTTTTCTAGCTGATATAATTAGCCAAACGACGAGATGCTCCTCCGAATCTAATCTGCTTTGCTCTGTCTGGGTTTTGGTATGACTCATTAGCATACAAATGACCCTTCCACCACACTGGCATCAGGGAGGGCTTACATTCTACCTGCCTTACCAGATGCATTTCCTAGGTTTCAGGAGACAGCACTACTGATAAGCAATTGAAAAGATGCCAGACATCATTGGTGTTCAAGGAAATGTAAATCAAAACCACAATGAGACAGTACTTCACACCCACTAGGATGGCTACAGCTAAAGAGATAGATAATAACAAGTGTTGTAGAGGATGCGGAAAAACTGGAACCCTCTCAACGTCTAGTGGGAACGTAAAATGGCGCCACTGCTTTGGAAAAGGGACTATAAATTCCACTAAATGCTAAAAATAGAGTTATCGTATGATCCAGCAATTAGGTGTTAGGTGTGAACCCAAGAAAAATGAACATATATATCTACATAAGAATTTGCATAAGAACGTCCATAGCAGCATTATTCATAACAGCCAAAAAGGGCAAACAACCCAAATGTCCATCAACTGATGAATGGATAAATAAAATGTGTTGCATCCACACGATGAAATATTATTTGGTAATAAAAAGGAAAGAAGTATCGACATAGGCTACGACGTTGGATGAACCTTGAAAACATTATGCTAAGTAAAGGAAGCCAGTCACAAAAAGACCACATATTATATAATCCCATTTATATGAAATGTCCAAAATAGGCAAATCCAGAGAAACAGAAATTAAGTGAGTGATTGCCAGGGGCTGAAGAAAAGGGAAAATGGAGCTTGACGGCTCATGGGAACGGAGTTTCTTTGCGGGGCGGGGGGCGGGGGGGTGATGAAAATGTTCTGAGATGGCTGAACACTTTTGTGAATCTACTAAAAACCACTGACTGTCAATGGGTGAATTATATGCTATGTAAATTATATCTTAATGAAGTATATATGTGTGTGCGTGTGTGTGTGTGTGTGTACACATGTATACACACACATATACGAGAGAGAGACACACACACATATACACGAGAGAGAGAGAGAGAGAGAGAGAGAGACAGACAGACAGACAGACAGACAGACAGACAGAGAGCGCGCGCACGCGCGAGCGAACGCACTAGAAAGTGCCCTTTGGGCCTCGCTCCAGTCATCGACCGCACTTACCATCCGCAGGTTTTGCGTCGTCCTCGTCTCGACGGCTCTGAGGAGCTCCCTGAATCTCCCAACTCCTCTTGTCAAGTTCCTGTGTGCACAGAGTTTGACAGGGTTTCCATCTGGTGTGTATTAATGTTCAATATTTTATACACATATTTCAATGCATTTTGTCTACATAAAAGCTGGTTGGCTAGATTTTCAGCAAATAATTTTTTCTGAACATGTCTGTCTGTTTTTGTTCAACTCTGAAGATTCTGACCTGGGATGGATGGTTTTTTGTGCTTCCAAAACAAAATTTTCTCAAAAAAAAAAGTCAGAAAATCAATTCCGAGGGCAAAACAAAACAAAATAAGCCCTGCCCTCCTCCCCCACAAAAAAGAGCAAGATATCTTGCAAGAGTCTGTCTTCAGCCTTATAACGGCTCAGTAGCTTTTCTGCTCTGGTGAGTGGTACTGAAATTTATTTTTTCACTTATAGGTGCGTAGCAAAGGGGGTATGGGAATATCAACAAGGCGCCGCATGCGATGTGCATAAAGGCTTCTTGTAACTTGCAATTTTTATGGGCAAGACAAAGATAAAAGGTAAGAAAAATGTGGAGCTCCACCAAGCAACCAAACACTCTGCATCTTTGAGAGCATCAATCACTGTCCAGTAAATCCATCAAATCCCGCCCCCCTCCCCCTGCCAACGCTGCAATGACAAACAAAGCATGGGGTTGAAGGTCCCGTCTGTGAGGTAGTGTGTGAAGGTGGAACTCGGAGCCGCCTGGCTGTGATCAGAACACATCTCATCTCATGGCCCCATGCTCCTCGCAAAGACATGCTTGGTGACACATTTTATTAAGGGACAAAAATTCTTTAGTTAACACCCTAGTCAATACATCCAGGCCCCATTTGTCCTCTCTGTATGCTATGCCTGGCCTGCTCAGCTGGGAGCACTTTCCAGCCGGCCCTTTTACACTGAGCACTGCTACCGCCTATGACATAACTCGGCGATATTTATAACCTGCTCATTAGAACACATCTCGTCTTTCCAAAACGCCGCAGAGCGGGTCAGCCGGTGCAAAGCTGTCAGCCAGCCCCGCAGGCTGCAGCAGATGCTCTAGGTATTTGGCTCTCTTCTTGGATGACATTTTAAATTGCACAACAATATTAAATCAAACTGGACGTGGGTTCTGTATGTTACAAGCACTCACAAGGGCCATTAATTCGTATCTTATACCTACATGACATCCCAGGACTCTCATTCACAAGAAGAGCCCCAGAACTTGAAGATAATGGTTTACTGGCAGAGATACATAAATATTCTCATATTCCTCTTGCCCACACATATCAGATGATATCGGATCAGAAGCTCGATAGTGTCATAAAAAGAGAAGCTTGTGCTCCTGCAGGACTCTAAGCAGCGCTAAAGGAAATCTAACAGAGACGTGAATAAAAATGAGGTAATAGGCCCTGGGACATGCAATCTACTTTGCTTTCCCCTTCATTTGTTTTTATGAGATCCGTGTTCACAGGCAACAAAGTACATTTGCTTTGGACTGAAGCTCGGTTCTCTAAGTAACATGGGGGTGGGGAGGAGATTTCTACGGCTATAAAAGGGTATAGGGTAGGACATAGTACTCTAACTTTATTCCAGAGTCACAGCCTAAGCTCCGACTACCTGCGAAAAGACTGGCATTTTGAACAGTATGAAGTAGGGGTCGGATTGAGATGACATAATCGGAGACCTAGGTCTAAAGGGCTGTTTACCAGGGCGGAAGTTAGGACTTGAATAAACAGTATCAAATCTAAATATTATAACTCAGGGAAGGCTACAGGAATTGGTCATTTAGAATGTCTCTTTGCCCTCCTTGCGGAATGAGATACTTATCCAGTTACAGAAGCACAGAATATTCTAGCTGTAAATGATCCAACACTATCTAGTCATTGTGACACAGAAGTGAAAAGGCTTGCTCAGGTTCACAGACCAAGCAAGAGAGCGAGCCAGGAGCTTTCTACCACATTCTATCGTTTTCCTGGACAAAAGAAATGTAAGTTCTCAAACTGAAGTGCTACTCTTGAAGAAAGGAAAAATATGAATGGAAGAGCTCAGGTCTACGTTCTGTATCATTAATATGCAAATAACTTAGTATATATTACACAACACAAGTTTTCTGCATCCCAGTGATCACAGCTAATGAGATACTCCTAGGAACTGGTTAACAACCGAAAAGAAAATCCGCGAAGCAGTCTGGTGCCCAAGGGCAAGGCCCCTGCTGCCTTAAAAGAGAAACGATGGAGAGAGAAAGTCACCTCCCCGCAGGGTGGGAGGCGGTCCCTCCCGTGCAGGACTGAGGCCCTCTGGTGGAGGCTGGAGGAAGTCCCCGGGACTGACAACATGGCACACACGGAAACGCGTGTTCATTCCCAAAGTGCCGGCATCGCCTTGGAAGCAGGGACGAGTTTTTCTCAAACTGTTTCTAGTTTATTTCTGGAGAGAGCTTAGAATTCGGAATCAAACTCTTCCACAAACTGGGAAGAAGCCTTCTTGTAAACTGAGGATCCACAGTAACCGAGAAGGTCTCGGCCGGCCTGGGGCTGTGCTAGTCAAATGCACGTGACACCACCAGGCCAACCATGAGGCTGGTCGTCCAACCACAGAGCAACCTGGCAGCGGGAAGGAGGAGGAACTGGAGGGGAAAAGGTATTTCAAATTGCAAAAACATAACAACTCTCGTCGACGCCTACACCATTCAAACATCTTTTTAGTCACATAATTTTACTCAACCAATAACTTTTACTGTTGGCAGCAGATAAAAAATTACTTAGTCTAGGTGAATAATCATGATAGAAAGGAACCAAAAACAAGGAAATTAACTTGCAAGAATTACATTCTAAATGCTACGAAATAACCCAATAGACAAAAGCCACATGATTGAGGTTATGTCTCTGAACTATTAGTTAATTCTTAAAATGTTGAGATCCATTTAATATCTAGAAGGAACTGTTGCTTCAAAATGCCACTCCAAATGCAGAGAACAGAGCCAAGGAACGTCCCTGGTTCCGAGGGCTTCCACAGACCCCCGACATTAGGTCCCTAATTCCATCTCAACACCCTCGACAGAGAGCGCAGTGATGTCAGAATTCATTATTCTCGAAAGGAATGTTCTTGCCAACATTCGGGCGGCGGGTACTTTGGCAGGCTGTCAGCACTTGGGGTTCACCTCCTGTACCTCGCTTTGGCAAGCTTCCTGAGTTGGGTGCGTCTCCCTCCACGTGGAACTGTTCCCAAACAGCTCAGCTATTTTACCAAGGAGAAAGCTGGTCCTTTGAGCACCAGCTGGTTGTTCAGCCTGACCAGCAGGCAAAACCCTGCTTTCACTCCCCAGTGTCGCTGCCCGTCCCCAACACAGCAGGCAGAGCTCAGGCCAGGCTCCCACCGCCTTGCTCTGGCTCAAACCCAGGCCACCTACTGCTCTGTCCTCGGCAGGACAGCCCACTCACTCCACCGGGACACATTCAGCTCCTCCCTTGACCTACTCCCATTTTTCTTCCTTCTCTCCTCCCTTTTCTATCTGGTTTCATCATCCTCCTTCTGAGTTCCTCCCCGCCCCAGGTCTTGTCTGCTGGCCCTTAGGTCAGCACAAACGCCTGACTTCCTGCAGACACCCAGGGAGGGCACTGACTCACCAGCACTTGACCCCTTGGGCCCTGCAGCAGCGCTTTTGAAAGCTGCTCTCTACAATTTACATTCTTACGTCTAAGCCTGGTTTTTTGCTCTGTGCTGTTCTACGACTCTGAACCACATCCTCTGCTCGCTAATACTGTCCCCTCGGCCTCTGTGCTATCAAACCAAGGGAGGAAATGTACATGGGAAGGACGCCAGAGCTCCAGAGTCAACATCGAAATGGAAAACCAAGTCTGGGAGGAACTCGGAGACCTGAGAACCACGTCCCCTCGTGATGGGCGGCTACTTCAACGGCAGGTTCAAGATACTGTTTTGTTATCTCTCTTTTCATTTCTTGGGAGTGGGGTGGGAAAATACAATGCTTCCCCTTAACCTGGCCTTCCAGATTATCTTCTGACCTCAGAGTTTGGCCCAGACCACCAATACACTTAAATTTAATATCGACAAAGTGTAATATCAACGTAAACTCAAAGTTCTGATGTGAATGAAATACTTTTTATGTTGGACGTCAAATTCCTGGGTAGTAAGGAAAAGGTAACCTTGCTAGAGTATGTTTAATATTCTTTTGTTCCTTCTCGGTGGTTGAGAACTTCATAACTAAAGATCAATTATAGAATATGTCAACATGGTCGATCTCTTAGAGCTAAAAAATCGTTTGGCTTTTTCCATGTTCTCTCTTACCAACTAGCACTCCAGAAACTCCTAAGCGGTAGGTTATTTCGACAATTATTGATACTTTAGGTATCAGGTCCCAGGCTCATCCTGAGAGTACACTGGTGAAAAAGGGGACACCCTCCCCACCTCAGGGAACTTAGATGGCTTCTCATCCCCCATAAGAATGTGAGCATTTTGAGGACCAAGATCTTGCTAACACAGCCTGGCATACAGAAAGGGCTCAACAGATACTTACTTAATGAATGAAATTCAGAACCACGATGAGCCCAGTGAAGAAAGACCACAAGGAGATACATTTTCTAGCCGTTTCTTGTCCTCTTTCTCACTGCACACGGACTGGCAGGCGACACATCGAAGCACTCTCTTAAACAGAATACATCTCACAGGCCCTCAGTGGCACTGTAGCGTGGGTGCCTGGGGGGCAGTGACACACCTGTAACCAGCGACATCCCTGGACATGCCCGGCCTGACAGCTTCTAGACAGCTGTGTGGATGATGAGGGTTTCGAGATTTTAAAGAAACCTACCAGGCCTTTCAGGGACTTTCCTGCCCGTATGCCTTACGAATGCTCCTTTCTCCATCTGCAGTGTCCTAAGGAACTTTGAGTCCTCCTTCAGGACCCAGGTCAGAGGCCGCCCTTGGGAACGTTTTCCTAGCTGCTCTGGGAAGACAGAAGCGCTGACCCTGGGTGCTCCCCACAGGTCCGCCCGTATTCCGAGCAGAGACGGCACTCGACACACTGCT